TACCACCTTCCACGGTCTCCTCTATTGTTATTGTTGTAATTATAATTGTGTCCTATCTTGTGAAATCTTCTTAATTATTGTTGTAGTGTTCTTATTTATTGTTATTGTCATCCTGTAAAGCGCTTTGAGAAGCCACCTTTAAAGGCGCTATATAAAATAAAGTTTATTATTATCATTATTATTATTATTTAATTGAACTCACAATTACTATTAAATAGATCTAATCTATTTAATTAGATTAATCTATAATCTAATTGAGAGTTTGATTAAGTAATCGAGAGCTCAGTTAGAAGGAAAAGCAGCAGACGGTAGGGTTGAGAGGACCAGGATGGGCATGGAAACAACTAGAGAGTGCTATTACCATTAAAGAAAGAGCCACTTAGAGGGTAACAGTCTGAGCTGAATTCTTCAATTGGTAGATGCTGTGTAAGCAATCATCTTAACGCCTCTTAAAAGAGTATAACTAATCCAAAACATTTCACTAACATCTGAATGGGCTGAAGTGCAAAATGACTTCTCATCTCAGCAGTTAGTCATAATAAGAAAGAGAATAAATATCTGGAAGGGAGAAGCTGGTGTCAGCTGTGGGGTTTGGAAAAGGTTTCATTTGTAAAAAAAACTAGTTTGCTTGACTGTTGGATTGGTGTTCCCCTTTTCAGATATTCAGTATCTGTTTACTTTTACTGTTTAGTGACTTAGAATTGTTTAGCTACAGAAGCTCAATTTTCTCTTTATTTGTTGTCTGTGGCTGTGTTAAGTTTCATTCTTTCATTTTCTGCTTCTAATGGAAGCCATTTATGGACAAAAAACAGCTGCCAAAAAGCACCTTGATTTTCTCTCTTCCCTTTTTACTGTTCTTCAGAAATAAACTGTACATAAGACAGAATACATGTTCAGATATGGCGTGAAGAAGTTAATTATAATGTGGCATGAATAAGGATTACTGTTGCTGCTGTTTTTTTTAAGGCAGGGCCTTAATAAAATTAATGTGACTTTACCCAGCAAAGGTGTGTCCTTTTAAGAAAGTGTAATTCCTGTCACCCCCCAAGCCAAGCCAGTTAACATCAAACTTGAAGTCCTGAAGTCTTCACTTCATGTAACACTAAAGCATTACTGTTTGGTATGCAGAGTATATCTCCTGAATTTTCAG